TGCTCGATCTTCTTAGGCTGACCTGTGTCAACGGTAACAAGATCAAACGTCCCTCCGCTGCCAGATGTCAAGGCCCCAGTGACCCTTTCTAGGATTGGTCCAAGAACCCTGCAGGGTCCACACCAGCTAAGTGGAAGATACGATTGATATGCTGAAGGTCAATTCACAAGTTAGGAGAGGCTCACTCCGCGTGGAAATCCGCTATGACGATCTTGTCCTTGACTTGAAGTGCCTTTTCGAATCCCTACGCGCGCGGTATTAGCAAAGCCAGGAATACGCAAAGCCTCGAGCCCAGTAACCTTTTGGTCAACATTCTGGACATACTCGAGTTTCCTTGCTGAGGAAGAGAAACCGCGGGCGAGTCGCCGGGACGGGAGTCGGACGAAGCTGAGATTGAGCATATTTTGCGGCCGACCCTCGCGACGGGAATTGATGGAGATGGTATACTTAAGGCAGATCGGCCGCCTCGCAGGTTTCCCCATCCCTCTTTCTCCCTTTCTTACCTCTTTCTGAAAATTCCAGAAGCTGCGTAAGTCCTATTCCCTGAAGTTCTCCAAACGTATCCAACGTCCCCCAGGCTCTGCCCGTTTATTTTTCTACCCATCTCTTGAGATCTTTCTTTCTCTCCATCTGTCTGAGACATGCGTTTCACCGCCCTTTCCGCTTTCTTGGGTCTTGCTGCTTGTGTTTCTGCCGCTACCATCAATGTCACCGTCGCCGAGAACGGAACGTTGACCTTTACGCCTAGCAGGTGAGCCACACAATCAGTCTTCCTGCGTTATGAGCTGCTGACAGCGCAACGACAGCGTCACTGCCAACAACGGAGATGTTGTTGCTTTCCAATTGTGAGCCTTGGACTGTCTCTATGCTCTGTGGCTCAGGTTAACCTGTTGTCCCGGTAGCGTGGCTGGAAACCACGTAGGATGCCTACCATTAAATTCCTCGACAGCACACCTGATGCCCTTTTTGTAGACTGTCACCCAGTCGAGCTTTACCGACCCTTGCACCATGTTGACCACTCCGACCCTTGGCATCGATTCTGGCTTCCAGCCGGTTTCCGCCAATGCGACAATGGTCCCTCAATACAGTTTCTCCGTCACCAATGCCAGCTCTCCGTTGTGGTTCTATTGTAGGCAGGCACGGTGAGTAGTAGAAGTGCCTTCCATCCTCGCTCGAGGCTGGGTGCTGATCTTATCTCCAGCCACTGTGAAGCTGGTATGGTCTTTGCCGTTAACCCCACCGCTGACAACACCTTCGACGCTTTCAAGGTGCGTTTCGTTCCATTCGTTCTTGCCTCCTTCTGTATTGCTGACATTCACCACAGGCTAGGGCAATGGGTACTAACACCACTTCTTCGTCCACTGGTTCTGTTCCGAGTCAAACGGGCTCTGTTCCAAGCCCATCTGCCACCAGCTACTCGAGCGATGCTCTCCGCTTTGATTCGTCCAAGCTCACCGGAATTATCGGTTTGGTGGCAATCCTTGCGGGAACTATTTTGTAAACGGACTGGTCTCTCCCTTCAGTCTCACTTTGTTCGCTGCTGATCGCCTGACACTCTCGAGAGCTTCTCCAAATCCGTTGTTGTATTCTCCCTCCTCTCCACCACAGAATGACTCTCGAGCGTTTCGAACATTACATATGTACGGTGACCATTGTACCGTGTCCGTGTCTTTAAGTTCCTATTAGAACCTTCATTTGAAAGAGGGAAATCATTTTGGCTTCAAGATCTCTCCCGCGTGACGTGTGATCTGAGTGGCAAGCTGTTTATCTGCACGTGGAATTTCCGCCCTCTCCCAGCACCCACATGGACAAAATACGAATCGCAAAGGTCCGCTTCACTCATCATACACGATCCATGGCCCTGTGAACCCCCCGAGTTCTCATTTCATCGGTCGTTTCGAAACAGGTCGAGCGGGTGGTCTGTTCCAAGTTGAATGGCTCGAACATCTGCACCCTCCATCTCACTGCGCACCACTTGATCTTCCAGTATGAGGACCAGAGCCTCGAAGAGATGTGGGTAAGTCCTGCAGAAAGCACTTGCCCTGTCCCTTTCAAATTGATGAGTCGTGCCCGGTGATGTACTTCCTGGGTGGATAGGTTCCATACCCTTTGATCTCTCTCGTCACCCGGCTCCCACAGACTTTAACCGGGAAAAATCCGCTCACGATCCGCACAAGAACGTTCGAGAATCTCCTGCTTTCTTTCGAAAACGACATAGAGGCGTTGGACGTCTTTGAGAGTATCAAAGAACTCACCGTCGCAAGCAAGTCTTCTGACCCTCTCCTAACCTACCCGCCTTGGATGCTGATCGCTTCGACCTTTCAGACTCCATCACCCAGTTATATGCATTCTCATACGTCCCCAATCCACCTCTACCCACGAATGATGGATGGTCCCTGTACTCCCCTCGCGAAGAATTCAGCCGGATGGGAATCGGTTCGCGGTCTAAAGCCTGGCGGTTTACGGATATCAACAAGGATTATTCGGTAAGCGCCCCGTTCAATTGGCGTAATGTGGTCGTTCGCCAATAACATATAAGTTCCCGTAGTTCTGCCCGACGTATCCCGCTCGGATGGTTGTGCCAACCAGGATCAGCGACAACACCTTGCAATACGCTGCCAAGTACAGGAGTAAGGCTAGGATACCTGTCCTGACGTACCTCCATCGGACCAACTACGTGAGTCCCAATCCTCTCCTTCATCCTACGACGTCTCATGCATCGCAACTCAGGGTAGCATTACTCGGTCTAGCCAGCCTATGGTTGGTCTGACGAACAACCGGTCGATCCAGGACGAGAAACTTATCGAGGCGATCTTCCAAACTCACCATTCACCCGAATCTCGCGTCACAGCCAATGTGTATGGTTCGACGTGTACGAATCTGATCATCGACGCTCGACCGACCGCCAACGCCGTAGCGAATACTGCCAAGGGGGCTGGGTCAGAGAACATGGACTACTACAAGGACGCGAAGAAGGCGTATCTGGGTATCGACCACATTCACACGATGCGCGAGTCCCTCGCCAAAATCGTCGAGGCGATCCGAGAGACGAAATTACCTGACGAGTCCGGCCTCGGCGAATCAACAACGACTGTGGACAGGGAAGCCCTCCGGAGGTCTGGCTGGCTGAGACATCTGGGTGCTGTGATGGAAGGAACGGCTCTTATTGTCAAGAACGTCCATGTCAATTCCTCGCACGTTGTCATCCACTGTTCGGACGGTTGGGACAGGACTTCACAACTTTCAGCCATGGCTCAACTCTGCTTAGATCCGCACTATCGGACGATGAAGGGGTTCCAGATATTGATTGAGAAGGACTGGTTATCGTTTGGGCACAAGTTTTTGGACCGCTGTGGGCACCTCTCTTCAGAGAAGTTCTTCCTATCTCCAGCGGAAGGCAACGGGGGAGGTGGTGGGGCCGAGGCAGCTCAGGCCTTTTTTGCCTCCGTGCAGAACAAGTTCACTTCTCCTGGTCACCTCAAAGAGACAAGCCCTATATTCCACCAGTTCCTCGAGTGCGTGCGACAGGTGCAGAGGCAGTTCCCTGAACGATTCGAGTTCAACGAGAGATTTCTTCATCAACTATACTATCACCTATATTCCTGCCAGTTCGGAACGTTCTTGTGGAATTGCGAGAGGGAGAGAAAGGTAGATGAAGCAGGCGGCCCTCCCCCTTTTGAATCTACCGTCAGCATTTGGGACTGGCTCAATACACCAGAGGAGACGAACAAGAACCGGAACCCGGACTATGACCCTTCGCTCGACGACCTGGGCCGGAAAGAGGGGAAGCCAGACATGGGAGTACTCATACCAAATTCCAAGGATATACGGTTCTGGCACGGCCTGTACGGACGGACTGACGAGGAAATGAATGGGAAATTTATGGTCGCTCAAGCACAGGGATCGGTGGAGGCTGTTGGCCCAGTCGAGAGTGAGCAGGACGATCCTGTCTTCTCCCCACCGAGCATCATCTCGACCCAGTCGCTTTCGAGGTTGAACCCTTCGGTGTCCTCGATCGTCGGTCAACGCAGCGTTTCGCCTTCAAACCCCCTTTCCCCGATACGTCATGACGAGGAGAGGGAACCGGAGCCCCTACAGACGCTCACGCAGAGACAACAGTCTACCGGTATTAGGCGATCGCCATCTCCGTTCGCCAAGTCCAATGCGGCGACCGACGTGTTTTCTTCAGGGGGGATGAGGTCGATGTGGGGGCGGCTATCGACCAACGCTTCTGCGGCCCTTTCAGTTGTGCAAGGTGCCGTCGAGGACGTGACAAAAGAGTTCAAGAAGACAGGATCCAATCAGGAACCCAGAGAGGGAGAGTTAAGGAGCAGGTCGGAACTCAGGGTATGGGGTGAAGGCGATGGCGTTGGTTCGTCGTCGTCTTGGAATCTCGGATCGCCACCGATCGACTACTCGACCGCAACGACAAATCCTTGGGCCACCACCACAATGCGAGAGAATCTCCCCCCTACATCTTCAGGGTTTTCCGACAACCCTTGGAACTCCTTCAGGCAAACCCAGAGTTCTACGAGTTTGCCCACTCGGCCTCCGGCTTCGAAGCGGCTGAGCGACCTGTTCGGAGCCGACAGCCAAGGGTTACCCCATGACCCAACAATCTCGGAATCCTTACCAAAATCGCCGGTGATGAAGGAGGAGACGAAGCAGGTTGTGGAGTCTACCACGTCTGCAAGGTCAAATTCTATACCAACGGACAAACCTTTAGACCCTCTTGGTGTGGGGTGGTGATATCGATTTGTATGTACCTATAGATTTTGTTTCTCGATTCCGGCGTTATTCCGTCTTTTGGATGAGAGAAATGTAAAAGGGTCTTCGAGGTGCCCTCGTGAAGTGAGGGAATGTCAATGATTAACGAGCAACGTGAAGTGTCGAGCTCGAGGAGTTTCTCACCGTCTCGTCCAGACTCTTGGGAATCCTCCAAACTCCCAACAACGCTAGTCCGAAATTGATAAGGTGTTCAGAAACCTGCCCTTCCCAAGGGCACTTTGCCGGAGTGGTTAACGGGATCGCCTGCTACTGGCCTCGGCTTGAGTCAGCGGTTGTGCATTGCACGCGTGAGTTCGAATCTCACAGGTGTCGCTTTTTGGCTTACCTGTTGTTGGGATTCTCTCATTCTTGAGGAAGGCTTTGTTGGAACCTTGCACCGGTTTTACAAAAGCAGGGCATTTTCGCAAGTGATCAGATTCTCAACTAAGAGTTCCAACGCGGACAATATTCCACATGAGTGGCACGGTGCCCTGGGACGACAAGTTCATGACCGATTCTTTTTCCTCTTCGTCGGCATGCCAGCTTCCACCATATCATCGTCCCTATCCACATCGTCAGCTGCCGGGGCCCCATCTCTCCGTCGCTTCCTCCCGGAGCCAGCCTTACTTTGGTCCTTCAGCTCATTTACAGCAAGCCTTGAAGCTTCGTCCACCCGTTCTCGCAACAGCGTCACCTCTTCCTCGTCCGTCGGCCACAGTTCCATCTTCTTACCTATGACAGCCTCGACTCGTTGCATCAACTCGACGTCATATTGTGTCACAATCGTTATAGACTTTCCAGAACGACCGGCCCTCGCGGTCCTACCGACCCGATGGATGTAATCCTTTGAACTGGTGGGAACGTCGTAATTGATGACAGCGTCGACGGAAGGCAGGTCCAAACCTCTACGCCCGGTAAGCTTACGACCCGGAATGAAGAAAAGCCCTGTACTTACCGACTCGCAACGTCCGTGGCGACCAAGATCTTCCGACCGCCGCTTTTAAACTTTGCTAGGGCTCCAAGTCGAGCGCTTTGACTGAGTTGGCCGTGTAAGGGGACTGCGGGGAAACCGAGTGTACGGAGTATTATTGATAACCTTCGTTGTATTGGCATGGTGTCAATCTCCACGGCAGATGGACGTACCTTTGGGCGTCATGAACGGTTCTCGTAAAGATGATGATAGAGTTCGAGGCTAGACTGTTCGCTAGATAGACGAGGTTCACATCCTTCTTGACCATGGGAATGAAGAGGTAGTATTGTAGGAGTGTGGAAACGGTGGAATATCTGGAAGGTATCGTGAGCTACCAAAGCATCGGTGGACAGGTGGGCATACTTGGACGAAACCTCGACCCTGACGGGATTAGATAAACTCGCACGTTGCAGTTTTGCGACCTTTGTGGTCATGGTCGCGGAGAACAAATATGTCGTCCGTTCCTTTGGAATAACTTTCAAAATCTTATCGATTACGGGGCCGAGATCCAGGTCTAGCAACTTATCGGCCTCATCAAGCACCTCAGGATAACCATCAGCGCAACTGCCAAGAATGACGGCGGCAGATTTCTCACCAGGAACTTGAGAGTTCGCAGACTAAATCCTTTGGTGTTTTCGAGGTGATCGTTCAGCCGGCCGGGGGTCGCGACGACTATATGCGGCTTCTTTGCCAAAGCGACCTTTTGAGACATAATGTCCATTCCACCCACGATGACTACACAGCGTACGCCCATGGCAGAACCCAAAGCTTCGAATTGTTGCGAGATTTGATAGGCAAGTTCGCGAGTTGGCGAGATGACGCACGCAAACAGTCCCTTCGGTTCTTCCCAAAGCTTTTGCAGGATGGGCAGAGCGAAAGCCGCGGTCTTTCCCGAACCTGTGGATGCAACTCCAATGATATCCCGGCCCTGGAGTGCGTGAGGCAAAGCTTCGGCTTGAATATCAGTCGGCGCTTTGAATTTCATCTGGTCCAGAGCTTCCAGCAACGGGTCTATCAGGCCCAGTGACTTGAACGTGACATTGGTCGAGGACGTCGAGGCTTCCTCAGGTTCGGGCATTTTTTCGTATCGAGACCGTAGAAGTCGGTTTGGTGAGAGTATTTTTTTGATCGGAATTGGGGCAACTCTGTTCCTACTCCCGATCGCCTCTCAGCGTCTTTGTTGTCGTGCTCTTTCATGCCACTCGCTTTCTCGATTGCCATGTGAAGCCCGGCTCAAAAATTCACGGTTCTGAGTTGACCGCGTGGAGGGGCAACGGCGCTTTGATAACTGACTCAACGACAAAGCGATGCTGATGCGTGGCCTCAATGAAGCTTTCATCGTCCGTTTTTAAGGAACCTCCTACGTCCATTGCTCGCTTTCCAACAACCCACCTCCTCAGTTATGTCGCACTCACCCCAGTCCTTAAACATGCCAGACTCTCAAAGGGGGAATTGCTTCTGTGGCTACCCCGCATTACCTTGTCGGGACAACAAGTACTGCTCTGAACAGTGTGCTCGGGAAGACACAGAAAAGATGCTGGTGGGCGAGCCTTCCCATTACAGAAACATCTCACAGGTACACGAGTTCTTCCCCACTACTCTAAACACGACCTCTTATCGTCTGCGCAGGCTGAGATTCTAGGAAGGCTTGTGCAATCGGACTCTCCGTGTCGACTTGCACAGAAGATCATGGTTGAGGCGGACATGGTCTGTGATAACGAGTACGAACAACTGCGCGAATCAAAACCACTTCCGCCTCTGCCCTCTTCATCGCAGCTACCCACCCCCAGGGTGCTCACAGGCATTAAAAACACCCTCAACTCCATTAAACAAGAAGTTGCCCCCCTGCCACGGCAGAAACGGCTTCACTCCTCCGTACTCGCACGCAGAGTGGGACAGGGGCACCTTTGACCTCCACCCGTAGTTGTTCTTTCCATGGCTTTAACTGTCTGTTTTGATTATGTTGTATCTTTATGTTTGAAATTAGATTGTATGATTTACGCGATCGAATACTATATGCCACGAGGAATAACCTCCCTCATTCGTCGTTGCCCATCTCAACGACGTAAGTACTTCTTCCCCCTCTCGGCAGCACCAAAACCTTGTGCGCGCCGTGCTCTTGGTATGTCTCGCAACTAGGTAGTACGACAGAGCCCATTGTAACCTTACCAGAGATAGGGAGCGGGGTGACCGAGGCTCTCGGCAGAGGTAGTTCCCCGTGGTGGAGGGCTACAAGAGTGATCGTCACGTTGTGGGTTCCACCGTCCTGACTCATAATCAGCAACGGTTCGGTCAAGTTATTGACGGTACGCACTGTCGCCTGGAAGTCTCCTCTCTTTTGTCCGCTTACCAACCAGTCGCTGAGCAGCTCCTCGACATCAAACCTCATCCTGTACGTCCTCTCTGTCGTCCTCTCGAAGGTCCCCGGCCCCCAATGGAATGAGGTATTGATGCTCAAGAGAGCTTGAATCGGTTGTCCCGCATATAACGATGTCCCACTTGGGAGCCTCGTCCTTGATATCGGGTTGTCTATCAACTCGACCCTTACAGCGGCAACGACCTGTTCGGATAGTTTGTTTCAGCAAAGGCTCGAATGCAACGCAGGGGAGCGAAGAATTACATTCATCCGCGGGACATCGACAGGGAAGACGATCTCTTTCCACGTGTCCTCGTCCTCCAGCTTCACCTGACTGTCCATGAGCAGCTAACAGCAAAATCAGCGACTTATCTCGACAGCGGATCACGAGGGTACCATTTCGAGTTTAGAAACCACAGGCTTCAGGTCGGGTTCGAGGTTTAATAGTGGCGGCGCCTTGAGTCTCCCAGTAATATTGTATGTTGGTATCCACTTCGAATCCATCTCGAGAGCCTTGACCATAGAGTGGACCAGATCTGACCGGCGATCTGCGAGGGCCGGAAAGTCTTCCAACGTTCTATTAACCTTTCGTTCAACCAGTGTCTCGACCTCTGGAGGGGTAGAGTTTTCATCATTATAGGTCTGGGGAGTTCACTGTCCCCTACTTACCCTTCCTGAACTCTCGATACACAATGTGTAGTTTGAGAGTTTCACCCACTATCATGAAATAAATCAGATGAACGCACGGACACTCATACAGTCCGTACCTTGCCCCACGTCAGACTCAATCTTAAACAGGAAATTCGCAGGCTGGTCAGGTGTGACCGTCTTGAATGCCATTAGGAGCAACCCAGAGGGTACGGTATTAGCTGGCGTACCAAAATACCAGAAGACTGAGGATTTGATGGAGAAATTCGAAGTTCACTGGGTGCGGTAGATTCCGGCAAGAGCTTGGCGGAGCGGATGCGAACGTGTTGATTCGAGGTCGTTGAAACAGAGAATCGCGTAAAAAGCCTTTGGGTTAGATGAGCTGTTGGGTAAGTGGGAGAAAATGCTGTTAATTACTTTGTGGTCCTGAAAAAATCCTGGACGTTGACGGCGACGGGGAGTAACGTCGGAACGATGTGTAGTAACCTCAACGTCCTCGTCAAGTGTGGCTCAGTATCCGTAACGTACTCTACCCTGATGTTTACTTTCTGAGTTGAGTACGGAATGTGAGCATAAGTTTAGCGCAGGATATCGTTGGTACTGACGATGGCAGTATATGCTGACGTGTTGGAGTGTGGCAGGAAGAACGTGACGGCTGTTCGCTCAGGGACGTTCATGATCGTCAGCCTGTCCTCGAGAGTTATCAAAGAAAACTCTGCATATACGTGGGTGAGACTTAATTAGTTTCACTGAATTACCTTGGCTCACTCTCATCAAGGGAATATGCTTTCGAGAAGTCGAATTTTATCCCAGCGTGCGATGAAAATTTGAGCGTTGCGTGGGAGATCTGGTTTCGTCCCGTGGTCAGTGTCACTTGTGCACACGCCGGGGCCCCGAGTTCGACTACGCAGGCAGTTAATCAACCGCTGCAAAAACCCAGGTACCGCGATCAAACGTACTGTGTCGCGGCTGATTCATTTCGACGTCAATCGACTCCGGATCTTTTGGTATCCTCACCATAACAGGGAGCTCGTCCACCAGCCGCGACATGTGGGATTTCCTTCGGTGATTCCGCTGGAAGAGTACTCTGGAGAGTCGTATTTCGCTATGATCGAGAAGGAATGGGCCAGAAGATGATGACTGATACAGTCAGCCCGAAGCTAAAAAATGGAAGTCCCTACACTCACTGTGCACCGTAAGATTACGTCCGTGATCCCAGAGGCCAGGATCGTATCTTCCGTCGTCGTAAATGTCATCCTCTCCGCTTCTGGCCCCACAAATACAACCCTCACTTCATCCACTGATAAGTCCTGCACGAAGGCTGTCAACCAGACAATGGCAAACAATTCAAACACACTT